ACAATTCTTTTTATTTTTCTTTTGGCCTTTTTCAATCTTCCTAATGAATTTTAGAGGATAGTTATTTAACACCAACACCTCTTCTTTCTGTTTTATTTCATCATTTAGGTCTTTTTTGTGCAACTTAGTGCCATTGCTCGGTTTGTTAAACACTTAACCAAGCCTGCCTTAACGGTTTAAGGATGAGATGAATTAAATTCTAAATATCTATTAGAATGCGTTGGTTTTCTATAAACACTAGTGTGCAGTTTGCCTTCTTCTATTCGTTTTATTTTACAATCTAACATCACAGCTAATTCTCCTTGTTCATTTTCCGATTCAAATGTGAATTTTATTCCCTCTACTAGTGAGTTTATGTGTGTGTCAAGAAGCTAGAGATATGTTCTGTTTTTAACAGTGTGAAAGTGTCATCCACATCTAACGTATACGGACCAATCTTAATTTCACCTCAAGAGTTCATCTAATACTATAGGGATGAATAAGGTTCTGATGATCAGTGCTGTTCATTTATTTTGAATAGACACGGAATTCGGTGGTCAACATATCGCCGGAGAATTTATCACTGACAGGCAGATAGACGGAAGATCCTGCCTGGAAAATCTGATATAATTTTGCATCATCATGTATTCCTTTAACTCATTATCTAGGTCCATGGGATACATTTCGTGGAGAGTATTTCCCAGTTTATGATTATTCAACTATTAAGAAACAACATCAGTACAGTAAGATTTCTAAGAATAAACCACAGATTGTAAGCGGAATTTTTGAGAGTATTACTGCATAACTCCTACTTATATGAGTCTGTATGTGGGCATGGGTGTCTACTGAAGACTACAATAAGGACAAATAAGTTTTGTAATTCAAAGCCACTCACACGTGTAGTATAACAAAGTAATACATCAAAAATGCAAGTTGATTGATTGTTGAGTTTAAAATCACAAAGCGGTTTGTTAAATTTCATTCATTAATGTAACGTGCTTTATTGATTTATTGATTTGAATTGATGGCTTCAATTTATTCATGGTAAAGGCAGTCTTATGTAGTAAACAAAGAAGTTTAGCACAGTCTGACAGTAGATAAATCTTCATGGCAAGCAATATATACATATATAATGCTTCCGTACGGCTGAGAGGCTAGGCCTGCGCGTCATAGAAGACCTTTCCAACAAGCTGAAAACCTTCGTCAGCAGCTGTCTTCAGTCAAAACTGAATATCAGGTGTCTAGTATGGATTATGATGATAGAACTCAAGCAGTGAACTAGTCGAGCGCCTAAAGCTCAACAAATAAGCAGAAGAAAAAGAATAAAACTGTTAACTGACATCACGCGGCACATCCATGAGTGAGAGGAAAATGGCATAGGATGAGTTGCACGGGTGACATGAAGAAGATCGTGTGAGGGGGAAATGAAAGCTTATGGGCAGTCGTGGAGCCAGCTGAAATGAACTCCGGAGAAATGGCGATGTCCTACTAGAAACCCAAGGCTATTATATATATATATACCCTCGGCTTCGAAATCTGGACAGCTAACTTAGAGAGCAGAGTTCGGACACTATGAGGGAAACAATGACAGACACAACACACAAAGCAAGATAAGACAAATACAGTTTATTTCGTCTTCGTCTCTTACCAACTACTTAAAACTTTCGTAACCTAGCTCTTCTAAGTCGCATAACCCTTTTTTAATATTTTTTCCTTCACATTCCCAGTGGAACATAGGGCCTCAAGCTAGTAGCTTGAAGTTTCTGTAGCAGTGTTTAATTTTAACAGGATGGGGTTGCTAGCCTCATCCCCAACCTTTCCTCTTCACCAGCATTATTTCTGGCTTAGCGAGGTAAAGGAGTGCGTCGGCCGGGGATCGAACCCCGAACCATGTGCATGGTTGGCGAGTGTCCTAACCGCTATGCCACCGACGTACACTGCATAACCCTAGAGAGAATCAAAGATGTACTGGATACAGAACTCTGCCAGACGGAACAAGCTGGATTCAGGAAAGGCAAATCAAGTCTTGATCAAATTGCAACTCTACGCATCGTCATCGAACAAAGCAAAGAATGGTAATCACACCTCTACTTCAGATTCATCAACTTCGAAAATGACTTCGAAAGCGTTGACTCATAAGTGATTTGAGACCGCTACAATACTATGGCGTGCAGTGTACAAATCCTTATCAACCTCATTCAACAGCTGGCTATATGACAATGCCACGTGTCAGGTGATCCACATCAGAAAACTCAGAGAGGCATTTGAAGTGAATACAATAGTAAGACAAGGCTGTCAGCCTATTATTAACGGTGATAATCATAAGTGTGGTGGACTGAATTATGCGTCAGACTGTGGGGAGCGAGGAGTCAGGAATACACTGAACCACCGATAAGAAGACTCTAGAAGATTTGGATTTCGCGTGTGGATGATATATGTCTAATGTCACACAAACTCGAATATTTACAAAGGAGAGTCAACAAACTGGCTGGAGAAACAGCCAAGGAAGACAGTACTGCAGGTGAACATAGAGAAGACGGAGGTGATGAAGATAACCAACCACCACCAACATAAAAATAACCAGCACCAATCAGTATCAACGGGAGAGAATTGGAAGATATCACTTCCTTCACTTATCTAGGAAGCATCGTTTCAACCGCAGGCAGTTGGAGCGGATGAAAATATCGAAGCCAGCCAGGATCGGAAAGGAAAGATACGCCTTCATCAACCTGAAATCAGTTTGGAAATCTTCTGCTTCAGTCAACATACGAACAAGATTAGCATTTTCAACACCAATGTAAAGTTGTTTCTTCTATACGGGTCAGAAACTTGGCCAGCGTGTCACGAAAAGGATTTCCAACAGGCTACTGCAGACTTTTACCAACAGCTGCCTTCTCTGGCTGCATACTGAAGATCAAATGGCCAGGAAGAATAAGCAACAAGAAACTATGGCAACAAGCCAGCCAAGAGCCAACTGCTCAATAAATATGTGGAGGAAAATGGATATGGATTGAGCATTCGTTGAGGAGACTGTCAAATGACATCGCGCGCAACGCAGGCCAAGGCTCGAGTGGAATCCGAATGGGAAGCGACAAGTGGGTCGTCATAGGGTGACATGGAGGAGATCGTGTGTTGGGGAGGAGGAGATGAGGGATTATGGGCAATCGTGGACCCAGCTGAAAAGGACAGCAGAAAATAGAAGAAATTGTAGATGTGTTGTTGAAGCCCTATATTCCACTCTAAACGCGAGGGAAGAATAATAACGGGTTAACCTAATTTTATAATTTATACACTACAAACATTATTCTGGCTAAGCTTCCCTCCACTTGTTATTTCTGAGAATCTTAAATTGTATTACATATATGGTTACTGAAATTTCATTGAACCTTAAAAACTTGACATTTCCATTCATCTATATACTATGAGCTTTCTTAATTATTGCTCGACATTTATTTCTCCGATGGGTTTGCTTGGGTCATAGTGAAAACGAGGTGACATAGTTCGTTGTTATGTTTACGTGGTGATATATATATATATATATACGCGATACTGAATTATAAACTGTAAACATTTTTATCAGTTATTGATTTGAATGGATTCGGAGCTCTTGGCGGTCTATAGCAGAAAATGTGACTTGTTAGTCATATCTAATGATTAGGTTTCAAAGCTAAACATATATATTTGCAATTTTATGATTTTATACTCGTATATATATATGGCCTACCATATCAGATACGCTTTGTTTACAGTCGTATGTTAGTCGCACTAGCTCATACTTGGTTATTTAGAGGTATCCTATATCGTCGACGTGTTACTTCTATGAAATGAAGCACATTAATATTGTGATAAAACTATTAACTTTCAGTGTTATTCAGGTTGTAGGACCGATTGTCCAACAAATATGATTGAAGGAAATGGAGACGGTTTGAACATACGCTGATTAGACCAGTGAGTGACATGACACTCTAGGACGTAGAGTAAAATGTGAGTAGGAAACAACTAGTTGGGCGTTAGTTCGAAGGTGATATGGAGGAGATAATTTGAGCAGGGAACCAAAGATTATGGACAGTTGTGAAACCAGATAAAGAGGACTTCAGAGAACAGGGTGAAATGGAGGTGTGCTAGTGGAGCAATATGTTCCACTTGAAACCGAAGGAAATAATAATTGGATGGAGGAATTCATCATGAGCTGACATCGGTTAGAGAACCATTGGAAAACCAACTGGGAGTACTGGAAAGCTGTTTCGTCAGCCCGATTCGGGACTCTTCATCAGTACCCACCCATCACCAGGGTTCGAAACCAGGACCTTCTGGTTGCAATGTGGTGAGCTCGTAGACCATTCAGCAGTCACTGGGACTCGATCCAATGACCAGCCCATGAATTCTAACTTCTGCCAATTCACGACATAGAGCGACCACTTCGCAATGTCTTTGATGAGTTGTTGCCTCACCTTCAACTTGCTGCATCCTACTGACGTCAGCTCATGATGAAATCCTCCATCCAATCAAACAAAATCCCTACAAAACCAATACTTGAAATAATAATAATTGTTATTCTTCAGGTTGTGATCACTTGACAAGAAACCGACCAGCGAATTGAAGGCAGTCCCTTGTTTTTAACCTAGATCTGTGCCTGTTGTTGTCACTGCTTTGTTTAAATTCATTAAAGAAAGTTTGTATATGAAATTTCAAATTTTCATCCTTCACCCTCGAAATACGATTTCACAGAAGTATATAATTTTAGTCTTTAAACAGGTCGCTTGGCATATGTGAAGTCTCTGAAGTACCAGTAGGGTGGAAAGGCTACGCTTTAATGTTTGAAACAGTTTTAGAGCCACTTTAAGGGCTTATTCGTTAAATACATAAAAAGTTGGTCTTTCTGTTTCACTAGGGTAATACAGAGGTGTAGTCGTCATTTAGTTAGTAGATAGTGCTTAAGTAAGGTGAACACTCTAAGCAAAATAAGTATGAATTTAATGATATTTCACAATCGAAATTTATTGTTTAACTGTTTATCTTACCCAGTTTGAAGCGGGAAAAATGGCGGCATTGCAGGGTTAGCTGAAAAAGAAAAGGCGAAACAAATCAATGAAAAGCTTGGCAAAAAAGTTTAAAAAAAACACTTTCTCATCTTCTTCATGAATAATAATGATGATCACTGTTATTCCTCTTGATGACGACTACCAATGGAATCCAGTATGCGCATTTCGTCCTATTTAGGATTCGTCCTTTGGATGTACCAAAATTCCACCAAGTCAGCAAGTGATGATGTTCCCAAATCCAACTGGTGAGTTATAGGCAGGACGAAATGCACTACCTGGATTCTACTGTTACTCAAGATCAAGCAAAATAACCTTATTGTATTTCTCAGATATCATGGACGCGTCCATACTAGGAATAGTCATTTCAGGAGAGGATGAGGAATTTGATCTTTCAGAATCACTCAACGGAAAATACAAATTAGGCAGTATAAATTATCATTAAGGATAATGCATAAACCTTGATGGGAAGAATACGCTTACACCATGAAAGGTGTTCACAAACCTTTGTACTGCAAAGGACGTAAAGTGAGATGAGGAAGTTTGCATGTTAGTGAAAGTGCCTATTGAACTAATCAGTTAGTCAATGATATGTGTTCAATTCAGTAGTCTTAGCGAATCTAATTAACTCTTGTGCCATATGGTTTATATATCTGTTGAACTCTTCTCGATCGAAAACATTTTCCACAATTGCTTCTAGTAACTTTTCTGAATAGAAGTACTCAACTGCTGTCAATATGTTCTATAAATGAAATTTCTAACAGCAATTCGTGTTCTGTAGAGCAGATTTGGTGGATACTAGAAGCATATTTCCTCAGCAAAGTCAACATACTTCCTCATCTGAAGTGTTGCTTCCTGTATCCTATCAAAACAGCTGAGTGTGTGTGACTAATCCTCTAGGTAACAACACAAGTCTGACAACTTATCACCATCCGAATGAAAAGCTTTCGAGTTCATCATGAGGAAACCATACTGATATTTATAACATTTTTTGTGAGAGAATATTGGTGTATCTATCCAAAACTGCCACTAACTACCCAACCAAAAGGCAATAAACTTTTCAGCTAAGCTATGTCTTGATATTTTCAAATAATTTTGAAGAGCCAAGATTTGGAATATATTTATTTTCGTGTATGATGACTAGCATTGGGACCCAGGATGCACACTTCGTCCCATTTAGAACTCTTCATCTAAACGTGCTTGAATTCTCAGTGAGTGATGGCGTTGCCTCTGAGATGTGAAGGCTGCATCTGTTGCTTCAAACGCCAAAGACACATGGGCCACCTAAACCAACACTTGTGCGATCCACCCAATAATAACACATCAGTCCTCAAACATCGTTGAAGCGTCAGTACTAGGAGCCGATACAGTGGTAGATACCGAACATTTCAGCCACATAAAATCAGTCAGCAGAAAATGGAAAATTAAATCAAATAAATTTAGAGTATAGTGTCGACAGTATAAATGAGTAGAGACCTGATAAACTACCCACGGGATATTTTGCGTATAGATTACCAAACTACTTTTGTTTAAAAAAGTAGTTAACTACTGAATTCAAAAATCACATATTTATCACTATACAACAGAACAATGAAGACATTGAAACGAGTGGTTTGTAAACTTGTTTCCTGCCAAAATAACTAGTCAGTTCCATGCAGTAAAGCATACGATTCCTTCATCTATAAAACTGATATACATATATATTTCATCAAATTTTGGTGGGTGCTGTTAATTAGATTTACGGGGAATTGATTTACTGCAGGGTGACAGATATCCCTTGTAAATGCTATCCTAAAAGATTGTTATACAGAGAGTGGGGAAAGTGAATGCAGTTAACACTTGTGAAGAGAGTAGTGTGAAAGTGTTGAGAGAGGGACTTAAAGCGGAGGAACTAATTATTAAAACTATATTAGTGAATAAGAGGGACAAGAAGCACCCAGTAATAGACCATTTTCTGTGTGTGTATGTGTGCATGTAATTGTTATTTATGCTTTAAGCATTTGACAGTAAATATTATTCACAAAGTTAACAATGTAAGGCGACAGGAATGGGAACATGGAGAGAGAGAGGAGGTGAACTAACCCAAAAAACACTAGTAGTGTATGTTTCTTTCTTACAAGGCCTGCATACACTCATATATCTAACTTCCACACATATAAGCCGAAAGGAAATATGTATGTAATTAACGCTAGTAGTAGCACTACTTAACGGAAAATCTTACAAATAACAAAATACACTGTGCTTCCCATTCACCTATATTTCCAATGCTTGCCATACTTACACATCTGTAGTACTGTGTACTACTATATTGACAGATTGTGTAGCATTGAAAATGAAGGAAAAGTGAATGTATGTTTTGTTCCTCGCAGGACTCATCAACAGTTTATTTGATATAACACAGACGGATACATCTAACTAAATAAGTGTTTGGAAAATCCCTTCTGAACGATCTCCATGCTTATTTAGACATTCCAACTATTATTATTATTACATTATTGTTTCCTTTAATTCCTAGAGGAACATAGGGCTTCATCCGTGCGTCTCCATTGCGTTCGGTTCTCTGCTACAGTCTTCACCTGGCTCCAAGTCTGCCCACACGTTTTCATCTCCTCTTCACATCACCTCCTCCAAGTCACCCACCCTTCCACTGACGACCAACTCGCCGCTTCCCTTTCGGGTTCCACTCGAGCAATGGCTTGTCTAGTGATGTCACTTCCTCAGAATATGGCCAATTCATCTCCATTTCTTCCTGCCTATTTGTTTCACAGTCGGTTCCTGCTCGGTTGGTTCGCTCCCAGAGATCCCTCACTGCTGCTGACATTTTCTGGCCGGCCGGCCATCTGATCTTGAGCGAAGACCACTGTTAATGAAGGTCTGTAGTTTGTTTGAGATGCTCTTTATGACGCGCCAAGTCTCTGACATTCCAACTAACTTTGTTATTATTATTATTTTTCTCCTTGACTGTATATCATTGTTTTCACGTTTCCACATCATATGTCATCTCAGTCCTTATTATTTGTCTTCGTTCTCCATTAGCCCCTAATTTTAATACTTCTCTTTGAGGTTTTGTGATGACATTGTTGTGTTGGTTTACGACTGTGATTTTGTCTGATTGAGTTAAGGTGATTCTGACCTTCGGCTGTCTGTAGGAATTGTAGTAGATGATTCTTGTGGACAGAGTTTTGATCCCGCGTTGTTGAGAATATTCCATCTTATTCTGAGGTAGTTCTTATGGTCGAATTTTGGTTAAATACTTTTGTTCTGCAGTAGTTGTTTTGTACTTAAGAATGTTCTGGATCCGCATAGCTGCCTAACGGCATTATCAAGGTAATTTTGAGTTTTCGATATGATACTGTGAAATTGTACCAAAGATTTTATCACAAATAACCTTCTTTCTACTATAGTAGAAACATTTTTGTACTGCATGTAACTCAAGGAAGTTTCAATCAGCTACACAGTAGAGGACAATGATTGGTTTCCTGCCTACAGACCACAATAAGTTAGTTTTGGTTGTTGCAATGTAGTATTAACAACAATTGGATGACATTTCGAGCCCAATTTAGCAGTCATAATCAGATCAGCGTATTCATACGACTTCATAACTTTCTGTATATAGCCATGCTCTCTACTGTTTTTCTTATTACAGTTGTCCATATATCTGGGATAGATGTTGCATCAGTTCTTTTCCCCGTGTTTGATATTGATTCGATGAACTAACATTCCGTAATTAACCTCTCTCTTTCTCTTACCTGACTGTATTACTTTTTTAAATACTTTTACCGTAACTCAACGTATTGTGTGATTACATGCAAGTGAATACATTGCAACGATCGAACTTTTATTCACAAACAGTTGTCCTAGATTAAGACCGAAATCCCTGTGTTCCAGTAATCTAATTGATCTGTGCAATTAACTTCATAATCAATACATAGTGTTTATTTAGTGACATTTCTTCTCCTAATTGGATTTATTGAGTTCTTAAACCGACAAAATTTGTTCGGTTCCACCTTAACTCACGTCTTTTTAACAGTCCTACGTAAAGCAAATTATGAAGTCATGTGAATAGGTATGAATATGATTATGAACAACAGATTGTGCTCCCCCCTCAATGTTATGTAGTTATTAATACTGTATCACTCAGCGTATGCTCCATCGAATACATTTATCCATTGTGCAGTTATGTTCTTTGACAATGATCAAATGCCACTTTTACGTTAAGTGTATGGCTTCTTACTAGAAAATTAGACAATTCATGAACTAGAATATATATATACACTGATGAACAGCTGGTTGAAAACAAGTTGTTACTTCTGTGGGTCTGGTTTGGTCTGGATTCAACATAGAAATTGGCACCGAGGTGCAGCAGTTCGAGTTGCCACGTTCCAAATAGCACACAAAGGTAGACAAGAAAATGAGTGAAGAGAATCAATAGAGTTTTGACAAGTATAAGAGCGAAACAGAATGAGTAATGGTAGAAAGGAATATGAAAGTTTACAGAGACTGAATACATCTGAGCCACTGACAACGATTTTGAGCCATGTCACCTATTGTCTGTCTCCAGCCATTGATTCTTAGAGTCCCTACCTAACTCCCTACCTGACTCAGTTTAACTGTCAGGGATTTCATGGATTGACGCCATGTTTTTGTTTGGCCACCACTTACTCGTTTCCAACCAACCTGCACCTATATCAGCTAGTAATGCCCGTCGGGAGGGGGAGGCGATGGTTAGGCATGCGCAGCACATGACCTAGCCATCTTAATCTATGTAACTTTATAGCCTCTTCGATTGACTTTCCCTCTTTACCCATCACTCTACGCCTAACGTCAACATTACTTACCTTATTATGCCACCTAACGTGAAAAAGAGATCGTAGACTTCTATGATCAAAAACAGACAATCTCTTCATGTCTTCCGCTCTTAATGGCCACGTCTCGCCGCCATAGAGAAGGACGGAGCGAACTGCTGAGCAGTGCACACGTCCCTTGGTTGATAGCCGGATGTCACGCCTATGCCAGAGATTG